AAAGGCAATGTCTCATCACCCTGAACTAAACCAGCAGTCTTATAAACACTTCTTCCCTTGCAATCCGTGCCAACAATCTACATGAGACCTCTCAGCACGTATTTCTGCTTGCCAGTAACATCTCAGCTTCCGCTGACTCTTTTCCATCTTGTTTCCATCGACCTAGCCTCAGACCTTGTTGGATGTGCCGCTGCCCCTGGAGCAGGACAGCAGCGCTGCCTGGCAGGGAGCAGCCTGGTCCCAACCTCTGCTCCTGGCACTGGCTTTGTTCTGGGCCCGGGGGGGGACTGGGGCCCACGGGGTTTGGGGAGATGGTGGAGGGCACGGAGAGATGGCACTGTCACAGGTCTGTGATTTAGATGTTAGGGAGACACCCTGAGGGAAGAGGAGGGGAAGATCAGCATCCTGAGTTATGTTTATCTCATTAGTGCAAGGCTGTATCTCAGTAATTAGGAGTAAATAAACGAGAAACATCAGTGCTCTCTGGCAGCAGGAAAAAAATTAGAGCATATGGCAGGGGAGACAGCTGCTCAATGTATTTAGCTACTTATACTAATTCTTTTTCTCTGATATTGCTCCACAGCTCATTTCCCCCTCCCTTCTTTCAGGAGTGGACTATTTCTTTCCTCAGCCTCTTCATTCCCCTTGTCCTTAGAAGATGATCCCTTCATATGCTTTATAGTCCTTCCAAGTTACAGCTCATTTTGTATCTTGGCCTGTCTGATATCATCTCCATTTATTTTCCTTTTTTTTTTTCAATCTCCTTCCTTAGCAGAGGACCCAGATCTCCACCTTTTGTATGATTCCTTCATCTTGAAATCCTGTCACTTAGGAACTGGCCAGTCTTTTAAGTTGGCTTATTTGCTGGGATGAAACATGTCTAAGCACAATCCATCCTTTGAATTTGGATCTTATTTAGGAAGAGTTCCTTTCTAATTCTGGATCTCTGATCTTGTCCGTGTCTTCCGCATTACTGTCCTCCGAAGAAATGGGACAAAGCATATTTTCCAACTGTGACAATATCTAGGCTACCTTTAACATGATCCCCGCCCTCACTGAATGGCAGTTCTTCTCCAAGTTCCATCTTGTTCCATGTATTGGATCTCTTTGGTGTGTTAACATTTCCTTTCCCACTTGGCCTAAGTTGGTAAGTCTTGATTTACCCATTCTCTTTTGCTTCTCACAGGTATAACTCTCAGTGTGCAGTTCTTTTTCCATCCCTCTGTCTCTGTACTTCCTCTGCCATCCTTTGTGAACATGATTTTTTAATTGTCTGAAGCCTACCCTACATTTTTTCCCTTTCTTGTGTGCAAATTCTCAGTTGACTTTTCATACTCGATTTTAAAATATTCCATACTTTCCCTGCTATTACATTCTTGAGCTCCTCGTCCCAGCTGGCTTCCCTGTGGGCTTTGGTTCTCTGCATTGATCTCTTTGAAGTGGAAGCTCTTTGTGCGAGGGCAGCTTCTGCTTGGCCCCTCCAGCTGGGGGCACTGAGGAGAGCCCGTTCTGCGTCCTCCCTCCCGGCAGAGAGGATGGAGGAGCATCCTTGCTCACACTAACACTGCGTACACCTCTGAAATCACTTCTGCTGCATGAGGTGGGGTAAGGGTAGGAGCTGGAAATATTTCACATTTACTCTGGAAAATATGTAACAGACAAGCTTAAAAAAAACCCACAGCACTTCATGTGACCTTGAGCTGGCTGAGGCTGCAAAGTCTTCCAAATGCAAGGTCACTATAGCTAAACTTCTGAAATAATTTGTTTTCAAATGCATATTCCAGAGTGGATCTTTATTGCCACCATAAACTCACCTAACTGTTTAACTCCATTATGGGAAAGGTTGGGTTGAACGGACAGTGAGTATTAACCTTGCAAGCGTAGGCAAGACTATGCCTGCCAGTAACACTTTACCCTCTTTCTAAGACAAGCAGGAAGGACAAAATTCAGAAATGTCATTCATAGTGTGGTATGTAAGCAATGTGACATCCATCTATGCAACTCCACTGCAAGCAGCTAGAACCAGAGCAGTGGAAGCCCACGCTCAAGGTACAGGGGAGACCGACTTCATTCTTACAGGGGGTGGTGATGTGTTTCTGTCCTGTAGTTAAAAACTTAACATAAAATTCTCTGGGTCCGTGATTGTTACCCAGATATCTTGCAATGGGCAAACGTAGCGAGTTCACTTGTCTGCTGCTGCACCAGTGCAACCTTTATGGTTAGCAGGACAAGCTGACATATTGGTCAATACAGCAGTTTTATTTGGAACAGAGCTAACAGCGCTGCACAGTGATTTAATTGTTTTAAGGCTCGTGAATGCACTTACGACTGTTTGGCTCCTGGAAGCACTTCAAGCAGCATCCCCAGTGTCTTGGCCCCAGAACTGGACCAGCCTGCCTTAGCACAGGGGGGCACCCCCCTGCTCTGCACAGCCCACTTCCACAAAACACAGCAAGGGCCAAGAAATGGTGCCAGGTAGCTGAGAGAGGTGCTTTTCTTTCCCTTCAGATTTGGGGCTTAACTGTCTTTTCAAATGGCTGTTGATTCAGTTCCACGTGGAAATGAATTTTCAAGATATAGTCATTTGCAATAACATTTTTTTTTTTTTAAAGGGAAACACGAGAAAAAGGAGACAAACCCTGAACTGGTCACACTGCTGAGACATGGCGAGTTGCAACAAAAGCAGGGGACAAAAAAGATGAACAGAACCTCTCCTATGGTTTCCTAGAAATAAATTACTCACTCTTTTTTTTGCAAGAGGTAACGCCAGAGAATGTGGAAGCAGTACGTTAGGTCATCCCAGAAAATAAAACACTTTTTGCAGCCTCCTGTTATTTTGCAGAGGAGTTTATGATAATGTGCAGGGGTCACAGCAGAGCATGCAAGACAAAGAGAAAAGATATCTTCAGACAATGTGAGGCCAGAACTGTCGCTGCCCCACTGACTGCACCTGTTAATGCAGTCACTCCGCTCTAAAGCTTGAGAAGGTCCAAGGAGCCTACAAATAAACAATGATAAAGAGGACTGCTAATGATAATTTGGATTACTGCTCTCTGCCAGCAATTAGCTGTGAAGACAGACATGCAAGGAATGCTTTTTTTTTAGTGTATTTTGGAAGATGCAAGATGGAGCTTATGTCCTTGGAAAGGGATTTGGCATAGGGAAAGCAGAGCTAAATGGATGCAGAAGAGCATCTTTGGCCACAGAGGTCAAACACCACCTGGCAGCCTATCGAGGACCCCACAGATTGGGTCCCCCCTGACATGCCCTGCACCAGGTCCTTTCCCCAACATGGATGCCCACTTGTAGGACACAGAAAGAAGCCAGCACTTCACAGCAGCTAGAGCATTTGGGGAGCAATCTCAGCCTATGTAAGGAAGATGAAAACAATGCCTTGCGAACTTCACAGCAGGTTGTTGCTGTTTTCCTGCTTTTACCTGCGTGATAAACGTCCAGTGCTCATGTCCCTTTTCCAAATTATCCAGCTAATAATTGAAAATTCTATAATGGCTCTGTAAGCTGATTAAATTGATTAGAGATGCACGCAATGAAATAAAAGCAGGGAAACACATTACTATTTCATACCGCATTGGCATTTGGCCCAGGTTCTTTGGCATAATTTCAGGCTGGGCCCGTTTGTTTTACCTGCGAGCCCTCCGTGCTCCCGAGGCTGTGCTGGCTGCCACCGGCCCCTTTAGCTACTGGCTGGCCCACAAGGTCACCCTATTTGAGATGAACCCAACTTTGCCACCACCACAGCCATGCCCCACGGCTCCACAGCAGCCTCAGTGTGGTTCCTGAGCTCCCTGCACCACAGCCACGGGGAGGGACCCTGAAGAGGTCACATCTCAGTGCCCCAGGAATCAAAGATGCCTCAGCAGGAGGTAAGAAGCACAGAAACTGGAGCACATCTCTAACCACCCACCGTATGATGAGACTGGATCTGCCAACAGATTCTTAACAGAAGGAGACGTGGCTGGGGAGTCTCCTCTGGCACAGGAGCACATATGGAGACAATTATGGTTGTCTGCAGGGAAGACAGAGCCTCACGTGGCACCAGAAAAGGGTGCTCCTGATTGAAGCCCATCGTCTGGGCTCTGCATCAGCAGGCACCAGCATTGCTCTGCTAAAGGCAACAGCTGTCCTCTGCTTTTCAGGAGAGTGCAAAGCTCCTGCCAGTATTACCTGAAACTGAATGCTCCTACCACTCTTGGCACCGATGCGGGAGCTACAGCAGTGCTCTGAGGTTTCCTAAGGTAAAAGGTGCCCTCAGGTAAAAGCTGGATCAAGAAAATCCTGTGTAACACAAGGGCACACACGTTTACAGTAACTGCCAGCTCCCGGAGCTGGTCTATTTTTGCTCTGACTCTTACCGGCCATGACCTGACCAGGGCATATAACTGCTATGTCAAATAACCCCAAAACACATTGCAGCGATTTATTATGGCCACAAAGGTGGATACCATGTGCTGCAAGCACACATTTCTTACAGCACAGCACCAAACCTGAGCAAAGCTGTTTCCTGCAGCTTAGGAATTTGCACCTGGCCCACAGGAGGGTGCTGCTCACCCTGACACGGCACAGGGTTGGCATTGCTTTTCTTACTGCTCCCTTCAGGACACAAACAGCAGCCCAGCTGCTCAGAGCACCAAAAAAAAAGATGAAGCCTGCTGCTGTCCGTGTATCGTCAGCCAGTGCCCTGTTCTACGCTGGCAGGAAACTTCCACGTGTGCCACTGTGTACCAAATACACACAAGTCCAGGAGAACACTATGCTCTGGTTTATGAAATATGTTATCTCTAGCTTAGGAAATAAGGATGTGCACACAGCTGTGTGTACACCAGGCTTTACCACAGGGTCTGCTGCATCTATCAAGAGAAACAGGGATTAGGGGTTCACTGTTCAGGTATGTGTGGTTTTTCCTCTTAAAGTTTATAGCTGCGACATCTGCTAAGGCATCAGGCATGTGTCTGACAGCAGGAAGAAAAAAAAAAAACAAAACAACATAAATATCTTTTAATGATGGTAAAGAAATCACAAAGATTTTACCACATTTGATAAAAATTGCTGTGCTAACATCTTCTACAATGACAATAAGGCACATTAGCATTTAAAAATGACAATTGATAAAGAACTAACAGATGGAGACAGTGTAAAGGAAAGGCAACAATAAGCAGAGGATATAACCCACTGTTACATGTTTTTGGTATGACAACAACTGACACAATACAACTCTTGTGGCAAATTTTGGTCAGCTAGTACAGCCCTCAGCGAGGAGCTGATGGCATCGCATCCCTTCTCAGGCTGTGCCCAAGGCAAAGTGAAGTCTGCATTAGCAAACACACCCAGCACGGAGCAAAGCCACGCAGCAGGCAGTTTCCCCAGCACCATAGATCCCAGCACCAGACCGGGGGAAATGTTACACCTCATTTGTACCGCACAGATAAATCAATAAAAAGGCAATCTCTTATATGTGCTATGCAACTTCTGCAAACTATTTGGGAATAAACTACTGTAAACTGCTCAGGTCAGCTAGCCAACGTGGCCTGTTCCATTCATGAAGTCATGTTTGTTTAAGTGGATTCCCAAATGTGAAAAAGCTGCTCCAGGCAATTTTTGCCATATTATTTATTCTGCAAAACATTATGTCACGAATAATATCTAAAATCACTCTGAATTTAAAATAATTCAGAAATCATATCCCATAGCATACTATGGTACCAGAAATGATTGTTAGCAACCAGAGGTGATGAAATCAAATCACCGTGTGCTTACCAGAAAAAGGGAAGCTTCACCCCTCTAAGCATGTTTCAGCTGCACTTCAAATATACACAAAATTTTATTCCTAAAGACAAAGATTAGACATTAAAAACTTGGACCCAAGTCCAGCAAAATGTTTGGTTCCCTATTGTCCTGTGGAGTCTTGAGATCACCTGGGAGCTGGACTAAGAATGAAGTGCTTTCATTGCTGCAGAGATTGGCAATCCAAGTATTTTAGGCAGTACATTTCCACAACAGGGATTTGATTCTCCATCAAATGTTGTAATATTTTATGTATTTGCACATTAGAAAAATAGCAATGTGCCTATTTATAAAACACAATAGAAAAGTACTAATTATATTATGCACTAAATACATATATATGTATTAAATATTTGAAATTTTACTTAGCCAGAGGCCTCACTTTTAGCATTGTAGTCATCTCAAAAGAAAAAGCAAGACCCAAAATGATTTCCACCTCAGGTAGAATTTGATTGAAATAATAAAGACAAGTGGCTTCTCACATGTGCAGCTGCTCCACCAAAGGCTTATAAACATGACAACTGAGTGCAAGTAATTCTTGGGACGTAACAACGTTATTCAAAGTGCAAAGGCACAGTGCCTCATCTGCACTGAAGAGATTGACCCTTCTAGCTATGCCAGCATAGCAGACGTGTAAAACCCTCTAGTGCAGACACTTACATCAATATTAGCATCCTAGACTGAGACACAAAGCACAACAAGCTCCACAGATACAAAGCACGTTGTATGGCATTAGCAGTAGACGACTGCTACCTCCATGGCAGCTTCATTAGCTCAGCTAATGCTATTAAAACAAAGTTTAAATCACCTTGATCACTTAATCACCTTTCCAAAGCATGTGAAAGAAAACCCAGAAGATAATACCCTGAAACAAACTATCTGCCTGAAGAGTTTCACCCTCAACTAACAGGGTTTCCTCGTTCCAGTTTGTTCTATGATCTTCTGGTAGACCAGCAGTCTATGACAGTCCAGTCGCGTGGGTGATGCCTTTGACCTCCTTAAAAACTCCTAGCATCAACACCAGGGTGCTGGCAGCAGGCAGCTAGGCACAGTGAGGTTGCACAGCCCTTGGGCGGAAGATTCAAAGAACTGGATCTGGGGAGATGTGCAGTGTTGCTGGTCTTTTCAAGTAAGGTTTGAGATGTAGATCTAGGATCCAGCACAGAGTGGCAGCCAGGATGCTCTTCTACCTGCAGAACCTCCCCTCTGCATGCCAGGCCTGTCAGCGATGGATTTTCTGCTGGCACAAGCCAGCAGAAGCAAGCAGAGATGAAGGAACTGCTGTGTTTTTTTCTCAAGAGAGAGGATCCCTCCATTCATCACTGCAGCCCGGTGGGGAGGGAGTGAGGAAGTCATGGCAGCTCGACTGCCCTGGCTAGGGGATCCCAGTACAGAATTAGATTAAAATTACATAAAAATAAATAAGCACAAAACCAGAAATCCCTGGTAATACCTAGTACAGGACACTGACTCATGCAGCAGCACTGAGCAGGAACTTGGTCCCTGCGTTACTATTACACTCATTATGGAAAAAGGCACACTAGCTGCCCGCAGCTCCCTTCCTCCCAGGCTCAGAGCCCAGAGGACCGGGATATTTTGGGGCTGTTTTATAGCTTTTTGCTTTAGCCTTGGTGCAAAAACTAAGTAGCAGTTCACAGGCAATAGCAAAATATACAATTCTTCTGCTTACAGTCAAACACACTGTATGTATTTGACTGTAAGCAAAACACAAAAAGAGGCATGGAAGAAGGTGATGAGGTGGATCTGGCAGCGAATTAGGGAGCAGCAGCTGTAGCGGCAGTGACTTACTAGGAAATCAGGATCACTAAATCGCACAAGACTGGGGCTGATCATGTCATCATAAATCCAAAGATAAGCACCATGTGCATACTGGCAGCACCTTTCCACTTTACGAAGTAGACTGAAAACTGTTTCTGCATCAAAACATTTACAAAGGTTAAACATTTATTACTGCAATTGGCACATTAGGAGGAGTTGAACCTGCTATATACGGCAGCAATAAATGCAGAAATCTGACATTTTGCAGGAGAATACTAAAGACATTTCCAGGAGCATTTAACATGGCTGAGACTGTGAGTATTCATTTCCATAATGCTGTACTGTTATCATTAATGAATACGTTAATTATCTCTTAATTCCTCATTTAGACGGGTAATTGCTGGATTAATGCCTTTGGGAGAAGAGTTGCTAGAGATCAGGGGGTTTACACAACATTCCAGGCTGGCCCAGCGCTCTGAAAGCTGTGGCTGGGACAAACGTCACTGCTCTCTGGTCAGAGAAGTGTTCCCAAAAACAATCATTCTGGGATTCCTTCTTCCCATAGACTACATGTTACGCTGTGAGACAGGGATGAGAGAAGGGCTAGATGGCAGTGGGTATGCAGACTTTTCCTTTTAAAATCCAGTACATGCATTCCCCTGTCTATTTTAGACAGCAGACGGCAGAAGAGCCCCTTCCAGAACAGAAAACAGCCACATCACAGAAACACAACTGGTGTTTAACTGGTGTAAATACAGCTGCTGCATTCGTCAAACAGCTGCAAAAGGCACGTACACATGTCTGAAATTCCTTTATAAATCAAATTTTTTAGGGAAACAGTTTTCAGCTGTGGTCCCTGATTCCTAAATATGAAGTTGGATTACTTCTAAAGGGTCCATAAAAACACTGAAGCATACTCCTCTTACGAAGGAGGCTTGCTTTTGCTTAGACTCACATCTCCATTAAAAACAAAATATTGGCCTAAAAGGAAAATGGTTGAAATTGCAGTTTAAAGAAATCCCTGCCATGATAAGCTCTAATCTCCAGTTAATGTCCAGTGACTCTCTATTACACTAAACTCTCTGACAACTGCTATTTATTTCTGTTCCCTTTTAACCAGGGCTGTGTCAGTTTATACAGAGGATAAACTGTGGCCTCCGGATATTATCTTAAATAAGAACATCAGAAGTTGTTCTTCTGTTTGGCTGGCTGCTTTCACCACTGGACTTTACTATGCTTTTTTAATGTTTTGTTTGAAATGGAATTTGGAAGCTACACTGCCAGTTGCGGCTACACAAACAGCAGTGCAGCCAAGCATAATGTGCTCTACCTGAACATAAATCACTTTAGTGTATCTTTTAGCTGTAATCCAAATTAATTCTTTGAAAATCAATTTATGGCTGTTTTATTGTGCTTTAATGCAAACAAATACCCAGGTGCTACAAATATGCATCCTGACAGCTGTGGAACTACTGCATCTTGGAAGTTAACACTCTTATTCCTCCCTTCCTGGCACAAGTGGAAATGAATTTGAAAGAAATGTTAATATTTTCTGATTTCTCCTTCTGTTACCCTACTGTACAGTTACAGGTCAAAAAAATCTTCACCTGGGCAGCATGGAAAGGGTAGAAGTCATCATGAGAGTGTAGAGAGGAAAGACTCACCCAAAACAACTTCTACTTTACTTTATCCCTGCTTCAGAGGATGTCTCCTGGTGGGCCAGAGCAGCTTCTCAGTCCTCCTCTCCCTCTCAGCTACAAGCCCGAGGGGCAAGGGAGTGAGAAAGAGTGGCTGGGGGTAAGCACGAAAATTTGCCTCAACAGAGTGCACCGTTTATTGGTTGTTGTGATTTAATTTTTCATCACAACTTTGAGGAGAGGGCACTTCTAGCACTGTTCTGCTGACTTGAAAAATAATAGCTACAATCAGTGTTTAAAAATGGCATGGAGGATTTTGCTTAAAGTGAAAAGGCCTCCTGAAGCAGGAGCCTGGCTGCTGGAGCTGCTGAGGACATGGCTGCTCCCTCCCGACGCTGGCCCCCGCTTTGGTAACATAAGCTTGCTAATTATAATTATCCAAACTGCATAAGGGATTCTCAGCACAGAATAAAAAAGTTCATGCAAAAAAAAAAAGCAAAACAGCGGTAGCTGTTTGGGATTCATCTCCGTGTATAAACACACCCTAAGGCTATGAAAGAAAAATATTTGTGCTTTTTGAACACTGCAGAAGCATTAGAATTTTATCTCTGGTATTTGAAGACCTGCTTCTGCCTTAATAATGCCAGTTCTAGAACACATAATTCTAGGATCTCAGTTATACGCTACAGTGTGTCCCTCTGCCCATCTCCTCAATATTTCTACATGCTTCTACAATGTCCTAAAAAATGTAGGACACACTTAACATATAAATGTTGCTAGGTCCTGGGACTCATCTTTCTGCTATCTATTCCTTCTCTTGAGGTCTCAGCTCCTACAGTGAAGTGACGTGTGACATTTCAGCTTTCACTGAAAGAAGTGAACAGTTACTAGTTGCTCAGGAAAAAAAGTAGAAAATAATCCTAAAAAAAGACAGTAGATTTTTATTTAGAAGATGTTTCATGACTTTATATTGCATTTTATTACCCTTTTGATTCTTGATTCATTATTTTTGAATCATTAAGACTAAGCATATTGTCCGTATAAAACATCTTTTCCTTTGTAAAAGCTGTCAAGAAACCACAGCACAAACTACAAACTCCCCTGGGAGAAACCACCCTCTTCCAAATGTGTATGGTGTGCTAGGTATAGTTGGCACTAAGTAAAAAAAAAAAAAAAAAAAAAAAAAAAGTTAATCTTTCAATTATACTTTCATAATTGTATTCTATTGCTGTAAGAACAGAGAAGAGCCTTCCTACTCAGTGCTTCTATTTTGGAGTGAACAACAGACACTCTTTACGGTTCTGCATAATTTAAAAGCAAAGTACAAAGTTTTATTTACACTAACATGGTGAACAGCTTTCAGCAGAATCCTCTCTGGCTCTTTTTCTAATGACTGTACTTTCTGGCCTACCATCCCCATTCCAAAACGTCCATGACTGAACATGTGTAAAGGGTTTATGGTCCATAAAACCTGTATTCACACACAAAGTCTGTGTGACATAGACAGATGCTGGCTAGTCTATGAGGCCCTTTTCATTTTGGCTTCTGTGACTCTGCCTGGCTTGTAAAACTGGCTATGAAGAGCTGCAGTGTGTTGAGACCCATGAATTACAGATCTCCATATCTAATGTTCACAATTCTGAAGTGCTCCTAAACATTAGGAAAATGAATGATTGACCATAAGCATGAATCATACTTCTAAACAATCTCCTCTGAATAAAAATCCTTCCAGATTATCCAAAGAGAACCAAGCTAAAGAGACAATCTTTCCTGGCATGTAAAAACCTGTGTAGAAATTAGAAAATCATGTCCCTGTTGATTTGGCTGCATTAGTCTGTCAGAAGATGACGACAAAGCATTTAGAGGTGATAGGTAGTTATAAGCTATTCGTTAAGACTTTTTTCCTGCATGTCTAGATTTTCCTTACCTAGCTGTCTCAGAATCACCAGCTAAGGACTACACATTACAGACCAGAGCCAACAGTCCCCGTCAGTCATTCCTTAAAAATATAAAGGTGTGATGATATGAAAAAGCAATAACACAACTAGGGACAAAAAATATGTTGCCTTGTAGCACTTTGCTAGACAGGATGCCCAGGCTCCTTCAGGATCTTGTCCCATCCAGACAGACTTCAATGCTGATGATTAAAACTTGGGGGGCGAACAGAAACGGAAAGTTGATGACAGAAGAGAAAGGAGATGAAAATCCACATGAAAACTCTTCAGTTCACAGACTGGTCACAATCAAGTTAAGAAATGCCTTCACTCAGTACCACCTATTGAATCATTACACCTGGCGGACAAAGTAAAGCATTAAAACACACTGCACAGTAACCAATGTGTTACCAACAACCCTGCCTCTTTCCATCTGAGTGCACATATGTTTCATACACAAACACACAGACCACACCCATTTTTTTCCAGGCTTTGTTCCAATTTCCTGCCTTGCTCCAGCTAGTTTTTAGAAGCAGAGGTCCCACTGTGCTCCTGCACACCCAATGCGAAGTCCACAGCCTGGTGCACGCTGTGGAACAGAAGGTGGTCCTCGCCCTCTTTGAAGAATTCTCCGCGGATCAGGGAACTCCTCACCGAAGGATTGCACTGGGCCAGTAGCACCTGGACATCTATCTCCTTGTAGTCCTTGCAGACCTCTTTGAGCGTGCGTATTCCTGCCGTGTCCAGGAACTGTACTGCACAGCAGTCGATCACTATTGTGTGAAACCCCAAGGGTTCAGAGACAAGCTCCAAGGAGATGCCGGTTTGGTTGCCACCAGAACCCATCTCTTTGTGTCTAAGCATTCTTTTTGCTGCCTTTTTCTTTGCTGCCTTCACCTGGGCTGGGTTGACTCCAGTTTGCTTGTACAGCGTGGATTTGAAGCACTCTTTGTTGATATAGTAGAGGGGTGCTTCGAAACGGAACACCATGACTCCTGGCTTAGTTTGCAAGTTCTTGTAAGCAGACAGGGATTCGTATGTTTCAGACTCTGCCACCCAGCCAAGCAAGGGTGCCTCTGGTTTCTGAGTTCGGAAAATGACACAGAGCATAGAGAAGCAAACGCCAACCAAAAGACCAATCTCAGTACTGATGAGTGCTGAGGATGCCATAGTAACTATCCAGATTATTGTGTCCACCCTGCTCAAATGCCACATTTTTGGCAGGTCTTTGAACTTTCGCAGGGCTCCTCTGAGGTTTACAATAGTTATGACAGCAAGGACACATTTCTGAAGGGAATAAAACAATGGTGCAATCACAAGGAGGACTATTAGGATTAACAAACTAGTCACTATGCCAGAAATCTGGGTCCTACAGCCTGTTGACTCTTTGACAAGAGTCTTGGCAAGAGCTGCACTTGTTGTGAAGCAATGGAAGAAAGAGGGAATGATGTTGCAGAAGCCAATGGCATACATTTCCTGGTTGGCCCTCACGGTGTAACCATGCTTCTTGGCAAACATCTCTGAGAGGGAGACTGTGATGGCAAAGCCAATGATGGCTATGGGGATTGCATCCAAAGCCACATTAGGAATCAGGTTCCATTCTGGAGGTCTGGGTGGCAGAAACCCAGTTGGGATCTCTCCAGCAATGCTCGAGCCATATGTTTCTCTCAGCTTCCCTAAGTGAGATGCCAGAGTAGCTGCCACAACCACAGCTAATTCAATTGGTATTGGAGCCTTAAGCCTGGATTTAAAGCGTTCGTTAAGCTCTTTGGTTGGGATAAGAACAAGAAAGCACAAGAAGCTGGTGATGAGATCACAGATGTTGGTTTTGTGTATGTTTCTGAAGATGTTTATCCATGTGGTTATGACGGAGCCAACGCCACTGCTCCGTGGAATGTCCAGACCCAGGAGATACTTAGCTTGTGAAGTCAGGATGGTAAAGGAGGCACCCGTGACAAATCCGCTGAGCAACGAATCGGAGAGGTACACTGAGACAAAGCCCACTTGAAAGAAACCCATGGCCACCTGCAAGGAATCAACCACACAAAACAGATTAGGATCCAAACCTTGCACAAGTCATCCCTGTGGGGCTCTGGAGGAAAGCAGGATAAAAAGAGCAGCATATGTGGCCTTGGAGAACAAGGCATGGTGTCAACATGGAGCAGAGAGTCTCCATTATTCAGCTGCTCCTTGTGCACTGCACTTAAACAAACTGCATTTCCAACACAGAGAAGGCTTTTTTAGAGGTCACAGAGGTCTCCATACTCTGAACATGTGCCTACTGTTTACCCATTGGCTCAACGTACCTCTGCCTGCCTTAGTGGGCAAAAAAGGAACACAAGGGAAAAAGCATTTGAAATATTAGCCACTTTTGCCATTTCTCTCACAAGTTCTTTTGATTTCTATGTACTTTTCAGGGATCCAAAACCTATGCTTTTGTCTGTCTCCCACTCAAGCTCACAACCTGCTATAAAAGTACAGCTTATGGCATACCAGCTGCCCCTTGCACTGTATAAAGCTTGGCCCATCTGGCTCAGAAAGTATATGAGCTGCCCTTGTGATGCAGATTATATATGAATATATAAAATATATGAAAATACATATATATGAATAGAGATAATTTTTTGAAATGCTTTGTCATTCATTTTTTATTAATGTTAGTCAAACAGAAAAATCCTTGGTGCTCTTCCACAGGAATGAGTGGTTTTATGGATACCTACCCTGTGTGTCTTCACACCTGGTAAACTTCCCTTCCTTCCCACCACCCTTCATGCAAAACAGAGCACAGACTTTCTCACAGCAGCTACAGAAACTTTTTGAAATCTCAACAGGTTTTGATAGAAACCTTTTAACTTCCCAAGATGGCCAACAGGGCTGCCTACACTGTTATCTGAAGATAGCAGGCCAGAACTTACACATATTAAACATTAAGCAGTGTCATCTTGATATATTTCATTAGGTAGTTAAGGCTAATCATGGCTGGAAACTTCCTAAGAATCTCAAAACATTACTGAAGAGAAGGCAAGTTTGGGGCCTGGACTGAATAGACATGGGTTCAGCTCCAAATCTATAGTAGGCTCCTCCACAGTCTAGGTAATTCATTTAATTCAAGGTTTTCCTAGCTGTAAAACCAAAGTAGTGATAATCATCTTACCTAACTGTGTTGTAGGCAACTGATGTGACCAGCTTTTTGTAATTTGATTGTAAAGTTATGAATACAAAGAGAATGTGAGTTTGTTTGGAGCTTCCCATTAAAATTAAACTAATAAAAATCGAGTGTGGGAAGATCTATTGGTTGGCAGGCTGAGAGACATCAAGTAAAATATGCTTAACATTCAGAGTGACTGAAGATAAAATAAATTGACTTTTCAAATAAAGAAACTTAACTGTACCTTCAAAGTTCAGTGCAAATCACAGCTCCAAAACTGCTTACATCCTACAGTGATAAATCCACTGTACACCAGGTGACATAGAACATTTGTGAAATTATTCAACACTATCTTTCAGTACAAGAAAAAGTCCTAGGTAATGCCTAAAAGCAATGGTTTAGAGTATCAAAGGTATGTCTCCTTTTCCTCTGCTCTACAATTTGATTAGCTACCACCAGGGATGCCACTGCAGGAAGAAATGAATGTGAACTCACGAAATGAAATATCACAGCTCTGCAGTACTGTTAAAATTAAATCCATCCTAGTTAATGCCTGACAGTCTAAAAACAAAGATATCTGCTTTAATTTCAGCAAGCATGCAATTCTATGAAGTAAGCAGAGACAAAATAGTAAAATATTGTTAAATAATGTATTTTGATATGGTAATAACTAAAAGTTTTGTTTCAATACAACATTATTTTATCTCAGTAGCATCCTTTTCATACAATGACATCAATTTGGCTTTGAAAGGGCAGACAGCAAAGTTTTACAAGCATATCAACAAATGAAAAGAAACTGGAAATAGCTTTTCTGTTCAGATTATTTTTCGATAAAAGAAAAGCCAAATGACCCAAGTCTGGAATTAAAAGCTGACACACCACATTTTGGCCCAACAAAATGGAGGCCCAAGATATAAGCCAGTTCCAGGGCAAGGCAAGGAAGGTGGTGAGCAGAAAGCTACAGGAACAGCAGGTGTTGTCTGGCAATGCTCCAGTGCAAGTCCTTATAGTTTCCACTATGGTAACAAAGCAAGCACAAAATGCTTTAGAAAAGGAGAGGACAAAGACAAGTTTCTTGCACCACAGTAACTTGAGACCTCCAGCCTACCCTTCGTCCACTCGCCTGAGATGCAGGGAACATGTGCAACCCCAGCAGACAGCCGATAGGAACAATCACTTAGAGAATTAAAACTGTTTCCACAGAATACCTGTTTGTCCTCCCTCTCTCACCTGATAAACTCCAGCTATGAAGGTCATGGTGGCTCCCACTTTTATTGCATAGCAGGTTTTATCACAGAGCAGGATCTGCGACGTCTGGTTCAGAGGCACAATGGTGGTGTTTACCTGTGTGACTGTATCCGTGTGGGCACTAACAGTGGCCTCCAAGTCGTAGCCAGCTCTCTGCACTTCACGATCCACCACTTGGCCCACCATCAGGCAAAGTGCACCAAAGATACCAACGGAGATGTGGTGAGAGGTTCCAAATATGGAATAAATAATGCCTGCGAAAAAGGACGTATAAAGGCCATAGATAGGCTCCTGTCCAGCCAAGAGAGAATAGGCAATTGACTGTGGGACTAGTAAGACTCCCACAATCACACCAGACATTACGTCTCCCAGTAGGCACTCTTTTAGTTTGTATTTAGGAAGCCACTGCAAGATGGGAAAGAGACTGAAAACACAGTCTTTAACTTTGGCTGGAGTGCAGCTGCAAATTTCCTTTGCTCGCTTAACCATCAGAGCCTTCAAGTCCCTCTTCTCCTCCTGAGGTTCCAAGAACATTCTGTGATGGAAAACATGCTTAGCATCATCTCCCTCCGGCACTTCTGCCACTGACCGGACACTGCTGAATTCTGCCGTGGCTGCCATCTTGAGGACTGCCTAGGAACACAAAGAAGGAACATTTTGACTAAATGAATGTGTTACGTCAGACTTTTTAAAAACGGAGTTGGATATGAAAAGCAAGGGCCAATAGTCTTGGTTAAGCACAGAGAAAGCAAGTTCCAATCAAACTTGTAAAGATCCTCCTCGTTACAACCCCTAAAACAAGGAATCATCTTCTCTAGGAAGGAAGCTGATATCCTGTAGAATAAACCTGCTGCTGGTAAAGTTGTGAAATGGAAAAGAATGCGAGAGCATTCTTAGAGAGTCTTCCTTGATAACAATGCTCTATGCAGTCTGTTCCACAGTGCAATGACAGACAAGGAGTTTTATTGTGGTACAACAGTCACTTCAATTCAGTTGCTGAAAATTAACTACAATTAGTGTATTTTTTGTATTGCATAGCTTGGTCTAAACCTCATTTATTTATGCATTTATTAATGTATTTAAACACAGTGATTACACTTGCCAAATGTTGTAAAGATTTGCCACCTGAAAAGATTTAATCCTTACACAATGACTTTATTTCATCTAATCACATTTTTAAATGCTAGTTTTCAAGTAAATTACATCTAACCAAAAGAATACAAACAAGTGGAAGGCATATTAAGGGGGATGGTGTAAGGCAGGCAGCACATTTCTGCCAGAACACATGCTCTAATACAGACTGTTTACATACCATAAAGCAAGGTGATTATATCAAAGCACATTTAGGAACAGAAACAAATTGCCTGAATGTGAGAGACCAAATTCTTGATGAGACAAGTCCTAATGAAACTTTACGATCCCAACTTCGATTGCCTGCACTGCTGTGTTGTCATACAGCACTGTCAGTTTCTGGAAAACATCCAGAATGGTCCAGAAAACTCTCTTTCCATCACAATACCTGTTACCACCAGTATGTTGAAGTCATCAAATTTCATCCAGAAACACACTCTGGTGCTGCAAGTCAAGGTCAGACACTGCAGCAGAACTCTGAAAGTCTTTTTGAACGCTGCCTTTGTAGTCACTGAGTGCTAATAACAACCTGCCACTTAGGTATTAATTATACCTTCTCTGTGCATTGCAAACATCAACCAAACTAATATTTGATGCAATGTTTACAACTGAATTAACTATCACATCTATCAGAGCTAGCCACACTGAGCATTTTAAGTATACACCTCCAAATTTATTCACTTAATCAACATCTCACAAGTAGCTATAAAACATTTACTGCTACTATCACTTCAGAATGAACCTCTGAAAAATGTGTGTGGGGAGAAGTGAGAGAATTTATGTGTGGTGCTTAAACTGCCGGCTTCTCCTGCAGCCTGAAACTGATCTTCAGAGCTATGCAGAGAGGAAATTACTTCTCTTAGACTTTGTTCTAATCAACTGAGTGTTCAATTTTTCTTCTTCTGTTCTAGGTTTGCACACTGTCACACAGGGGTATCCAGATGTGGACCACACACATAATGGTTTACAAACAACCACATCTCTAACAGTCTGTTTGCTCAAGAGATGAACGGCTTTTGGTTCTTCTGGCTAGAAACAGCAACCCAAGTAGTTACTATCTTAAAACACCCAAAGCATAGAATACTAAGCTTATCAAAGGACCCACAAGACAGTAGGAGCAGCTACAGATCCACTTCTCTTTCCAGACAGAAGCATTCAGGGATTTCTACAGTAAGCTCCTAATTAGAAAGCAACTCAACCTGACTGATCCAATTCTTCCACATTACGCCACAGCGTACTTCTCCTTAGAGTCTCTGTTTTGCAGTCTATGCCCCAGTTTCCTGGAAGTTCAAGCCTGAAGTACCTGTTTGGTTGCAAAAAATGCCTGTCAAAACAAAGCTTTACAATTATATTGAACCAGGTCAACCTTCCCCACTGTTCTGAACAGTTATTAGCAGCCCAAACTCCCAAGACTGTCCTACCAGGCTACAGCTTGCACAGGGCTACCTAAAATCAATATACACTACATAATGCAGATAGATAGCCAACAAGAAATACCAGGGGCTGGTATTTTAACCCCAAAAGGTGCTTTCATTCACTCCAAACCCAGAGACAGAGAGCATCTCTCTGACAGGTAAGCTCCTACATCCTTTCACATAGCCAAACACTGCTCCCTTTTTGCTAGCGGCCCCTGGACGCTACTGAAAGGCAGCTTTGTTTTGAACAGAGACCTCCCTAGCCCCAGAACTGTAAGTAACGCCGTTGTATCAGGAGGGGTGGATTTGCTGCACAAGGTGGGGACTGTATGCTTTCCTGTTATCATGACCTATATAACCCATACTCTGTTATACTTTGGGGCAGACAGAGCAGCATTGTCTGGTCTCAGACACTTCACTAACACCTGGCTCCTGCTCTCCCCACCCAGCAGGTACTTACAGCAAGGTGTCAATGCCTTTCTCCTGCTCCTGCCCTGTTCTGTACTGCCACACCTTCAACTCTATGCCTACCCCATCTGAAAGCCACATGGGGTCTGCAGGGCAGGATCTTCAAACCAGAAAGAAGACTTAGCACAACAACCAAGGAGAGCGTGCCTCTTTGTGGTTGCAGTACTGAGAGCAGGCTGAACAGCAGCTTTGGAAAATTCACATTTAAAAAAAAAAAAAAAAAAGAAGGCTAATGCACTCCTGTGTTAGGTGAGACCTAAGTGGAAAATGTCACAATTTGAACTCAAGTCCTATTTTTGGCATCTATGTCTTTCTATTGGTCCTGACCCTTATAAGTTAAAGAACTGTGAGTTCTGCATCCGAAGATTAGTCCACCCAGAACTGTAATATATTTACATTTCTAGGGGTAAGTTTCCAAATACACTTATTAGCCTTCTTATCCGCTCTTCTTGGATAAGTCAATCACCTAGTATAATACACAGAAAGAGAAGAAAGCATTAGTTTTGCCTATCTGTGGTCCTAATTATTCCAAAATTCCATCTTAGTGCCGCCTAGCCACAAGGAATTGCTGTACCACATACCTAAATACACCGCATAACGACAAACGTCCTTTGATTAACATCTTACAGTCCACTATCTATAGCATGCTTTAGAATAATTATATGATTAGCATAGCTGTATGAAGGACTTGGATCTTTATAATGAGAACTTTATGGTGCAAGAAGTGACTTACTCAAGCTCACGCAAGGATCACTTCGAGGACAGTGCAAACTCCCAGCACACATCCTCACAATCCAGATATCTAATCTGACCCACCCAATAGTTATTGCAAAGTCCACTTAGGAATTTTTTATAGCACATACAAGAAAAGAGAAAAAAATGAATATAACATGCAAAAGCAAATGTCTGCAGCACCCAGCACAAGCACATTCTGTATTTGTATTTGCTCAAGCAGTTTTATTCATTTCACAAGCACAGAGTTACAAATCAAAAAGCCTTCATCCAATGCTCAGCATATCAATACTGAAAAGCTAGGGGGAAACTCACCTCCACGCTATTTTTTACGTGTAGCAAATTAGTTAGATTATTTCATCTTCTGACATTTTAGTAAAAAAAAAAAATAGCAATGAAAAGCCTTCTGATTCCTCTTTCCTTATGCAGGACTTCCAGACAGCTTACTGAAACCTGATAATTTTTCTTAATCCATCAGGAAACTCAAACATGAAACCCAGCAAGTTCAATTTAGCTCTGTGTAGTGTCATAAAATGTCTGCACAGTAGATGGTACCTGGTTTTTTTGGTTGTCTCAACCGTACAAAAATGCTCTAAGTGAAAATCTTCTTGGCTACTAAATTGCAGGCGTATACTGGATTTTTGTGTTCACCTGCATAACAGCTTTCTGTATGAGGCATGAAAAGGGCCTTTCATCACACAGTCACAGCCTCTCAGGATGTCAGGACACTATGAAATGACACAATTTTCAAAACTGTTTCACCCGTTTCTTTTTGAAAGCATTACTCTGTATTACTTCTGAAACCATTTAGCCCAACCACACTGAATAAAAATGGATTTTGTTCTTAAAAAAATAAAAAATAAGATCTGTATACTGAATGATATTCTGCATATTTAATCTGGAAAAGATACTACTGTGTTTTTTGTTTTGAAAATTGCTATTTTCATACAGGTCATTTGTATGCCTAGAATACACTTTTATCTGCTCCTTTTGGCCTCAGTAAGATCTTCAGGGGTTGTCTCATTGCCATGAAAACTCTACATAAGCAAAGGATACGGCACAGAACTGTGGAAATTTCCAGTATCTCTCCATCATGTTATCAAGCAACTGCCATAAAATCAAGATATGGGGAGGTACTGCACTCCTGAGGTCCAATGACTTTTACAGACTATTTCTGAATCCCATGTGGGCCTCTCTTACTGATCCCTTTATATGTTAGAGGTGAACTAACATCTGCCTAATGCCTGTCTTACTGGAAACTCTACCTGCAGCACAGGGCTTGGATGCCTTGGACTTCCATCTGTGTCCCAGAACACAGTCATCCTTACAGTAAGAGACTAATGGACTGTGAAGCTCACGCAAGGTCTGGAATAACTTACTTCAAGCTTAAATGTAAGACCTGAGTAATTAAGAGTAGAAAATAAATGAAAATAAAAGCGTCGTTTCTATATCACCGATATTAGTTTTCCAGATTATTTCTCTGAATTTCATTTGCATGTATTGCCACTGTATGCTCTCACTACCCAGCCTCATGTACCCACCTGCTAGACATAAGAAGTTTCAGGCATGCACTTGAAAACTAAAGCATAAACACATCATTTGAAGAGGCATGATCGTTTCTGAAGAGACGTAGAAGAGAAATGAGTAAATTAGAAATCCAAGTTCAATATGAACTGAACAGTACTACCTCAAGGTCCCTGCAAAATTTCACCCTAAGAATATAAGAGGAAAGTATATCACTACGTTTTGATAACGAAATCTTCACACTTACTCTTTTTGGACAATAGACTCAGCTGTTAGCAAATAACTTCCTTACTGTTGTGGAGCAACAAGGAAATTCAATACTGCCACGATAACGCCAAGATAGGCACCAGAGCAGCACTGCATAATCCTTAACACTTTCAAACAACATGTTCAAGATACAAACATTCATTTCAATCGTACTACTGAGATCTTTCTGAGGAGCGTAAAAAGACATACCGCCTTTACCATGCTTAACCAGCACAGCTGGGGACCGAGCTACCAGGATAATCACCAAACTTGAGCTCATGCACAAGAAAACACGCTGCCACACATGAAGATGGATAATAAAACACTGCTTGCATGAAATATGGGATCTCTTCCTACGTCAACGACAGTTCAGCCGGGTGACAATGCCCCTAGGTGCTGGGCCCGCTCTGTGGAGACGAGAGCCACCCATCTCTAACAGGCAGCTGGGTGTCCAGGGCGAAACACGCGCTGCCTGCCCTGCCCTCACGCCGCAGATCCCGTCGGAGATAGCCAACGGCTGCCTCCCACATAACCCCAACAGCCTTCTACTTTGGCACAGAGCATTTCCAGCAACTCGCTTCTGCCTCCTCGGGACCCTCCGTCTGCCCTTACCATTAGTCGGCGAGGTCAGAGCACCCAAGGGCTGCGCTCAGGGACAGGCATTGCGCTGGGCACGCAGAGGAAGCTCTGCCCCGAAGGAATTTCCGCAGCAGCTAACGCCAGCTCATGAGGAACCCACTCCCTGCGTGGCTCAGCCTGCAGCCCTGCCACCCCAGCACGGCTCGGGGGGCTCCCTGGGCCCGGGCGGACAGTGCAAGTAGCTGAGCAGTAAAATTGAAAACCTGTAAGAAAAAACTCACTGAAAAAAAAAAAAAAAAAAGCGGGGGGGGGGGGGAGGAAAATCCACGCACTCGTCACACTCCTGAAATTGCGATTTCTGCTGAGAATGCGTGTAGCGGTGAGGAAGCCAAGGAAGGTCTGAGCTGCCAGGATCACGAAGGGAACCGTGCTGTTCCCGGGGGGCTCAGTGCCACCCCCCGACCTCAGCCGCGTTTCGCCTCGCTCTGGCCGCGCTCCCTGCCCCGCTCGCAGCTCCGCGGCTTTCATTTTCTCTTTCCTGCCGCCTCGCATTATTTGAAACCCCGCACCAAGAGATGCTCCGGGAAGCGAGGTTGCGAACACCGAGCCCCCTGGAAGAGCCTGGGCGATCTCACACCGCCAGCCCCCTGCCCTCAACCCTTTGCCCTCAGCCCCTCCGCCGCGCCGCACTCACCACGGGGCCGGCGGCGGCCGCGGGCAGGACGGGCTCGGCTCGCCTCGGCTGGGCTCCGGCAGCTGCTGGAGGCTCGGCAGCGCCGGCCCGGCCCCACGCCTCGCCCCCGAGCCGCCTCCCCGCCGAGGGGCCGGGGCCGGGAGCCGCCGGCCGGGCAGGGCCGTCCCTTCCGCGCACCTCAGCGCGCCGCCCGGCCGCCGGGGCCACCGGCCGAGGAGAGCCGAGGGGGCGGCGGGGAGGTCGGAGCCGGCCGGGACAGCCGAGTGCCCCGCTCGGCAGGACGGGGCCGCTCGGGGCGAGGAGTCCGGACAAAATGGCAGTTGCGAGCCGCGGCCCAGCCCCGCCGGGTGTTAGCAGCGCCCGGGCTGAGCCTCCCACCCCACCCCCGGCTCCCTCCTGCTGCCCCTCGGTCCCACCGTGAGGGCCCTGCCCTGGTGGTCCTGCCTGGGCTGTAGGGATAGTGTGTAGGGACACCGTGTGGGGACGTTGGTTGATCCGTGTGGGGGATTGTTGGAACCCTCACACGCACAAGGCGTGTGGGAAAGCAGAAGTCTTGCTCTTGGAAACAACCAGGGCTATGCTGGCAGCAAGGAGATCGGAGCAGGCCTGGGGGTTGTCAGCATGAGATTTGGGGGCCGCGCTGTGGGGCTGTGTGGTTCTGAGCCTCCTGGTGGGATGGCCAGAGGGCCTGAGGTGCGGGGAGACAGCCAGAGGACACGAGGGGAGAAATTCTGACACTACAAAGGAGCACGTGTAGTGCTAACACAAGACTGGAAGTGGCTGAAAACCTTGTCTTCCAGTGCATTCCACCTGTGGCATAGATGTAACGGTATTTTGTGTGCTGGGTTACGCTTTAAGAGCCAAGTACCTGCCTGCTCTGCCATGAGTATAAGGAGTTAAAAATGTGCGCTTTTACTTAATTGGCTTTTTCCATGGCAAAGGCACTAGTAATGCTTCAGTTTTTACTTTCTAATTCTTTCCAAGTATGTTCCGAATTATGAGAGGCCTGAAAAAGTCTAGTGCAGAGTGACTCATATTAATCCTTTCCACAAAAAAAAAAAAAAAAAAAAAAAAAAAAAAAAAAAAACAGAAGCAAACAAACAAAAAAGGAATTCTAGTGAAGAATCCATGCTTTAGTTAATTAAGTCACACCAACTTTAAAATTGAAAGATTAATAATCTGTTGGTAACTTCAGGTAAACTGACCTAAAACTTGTCACGGCTATAACTGTTAGGGATACCGTAACAATTTCTTAAGGAGAAAATGACCTCGCTGTGCTTTGGGGTACCACTACTATTCATTAAAAAAATAGCCAGTCTTTTGAAGACCTTCATATTACTTACTTCAGTATCCAGATCTATCTGGGAAGTATGTTCAGCTGCGACAAACACAGGATCTCTGGCCATTTCTGTATTTAAAAGTACTAGTTGTCCAGTCAAATGTTCCATACTTTTTTTTTTTTTTTCCTTCTGAACTAAAGAGTCATGGTCAGACGCGCTGTACCCAGCCCCGCTTACCTTTCCTTCACTGTTTGCACAGAAAAACATACATTATCTGAAATCGAACATTGCCTAATATTTGCATTTCATGTGGAACCTCGATCCACCAAATAGCACATCAGTGTATGACTGGAGAAAGCGACACTAAGGTCAAACCTGTAGATTCCATGTGTTTTGGTGCTACACAGATGATAAAAATCTTGTTTTCGAGGGCTGTCATTCTGTAGAAAACAGCGTACTTCACATGGTAAACATCTAGTTAAAACAAGATTTTAACTAGAAACGATGGTAAGTGGAAGATGCAAGTTGAAAAGGAAAAAAAAAGAGTTACCTTCCTCTCCACTAGCTATCTGCTGTCAAAATCATCAGCAGCTCTAACTTCCCAATCTTTTTAGGGATTAACACAGGAGCTTTAATGGAGTTTGAAGTATATGGTGACTCCAATACCATCAGAGCAAACCATTGTGCGGACTGACAGCTATTATAAAAGCATTAAGAGACTGCCTTTGTGTAGGAGCTCTGCAGAAACCTAATACCACAAAACAAAGAGACAGTCTTTATAGCCTTTTCATTGTCTTTAGAGGCATTGGCTGTGGAACAATTTGGAATATCAAATATATCATGTCATCTTGAAAAAAACAGGGCAATAGTAGCTTCATGGAACACAAATAAATAAAAAAAATGTTATTAAAGGAATAATTCCCAAGTACTTTTTTTTTTTTTCAGAATCATCACTATTGTTATTTTTGTCCTTTTAACTATATATGGACAATTGTTGGATTGTGTTTTTTCTTCTTTCCTTTTTATTGTACGCTGATTTTCTAAAAATGGGTACAAAATTCAACTAAGTATTTAAGATGAGTAAATTATTTAACTTCCAACTGCTTTTCTTTTCCTAAGGTATAATTAGTTTTGTGGTTAATTCATTTCTGTGCTTAGGGAACCTTTGGCCTTGGAGAAATGTGTCTGGGGATTTCTCATGCCAAGAATCTTGCCAAGAAACTTGGTCTGAGGCTTGCTGATGCACGAACACCAATATGTGCCACCTCCCCATCCCGCCTAATCTACATGTCCAACCTGCTGCCTCTGTTTCTCCAATTTGCCCCATCATTTTTGTGATAGCAGATCTCCAGAGAGCAGTTTGTTGGCCTGCTAAATAACCTGAAAAACCCCAGTGGACCACTCCATCTTGTTCCAGCATGCATGTAATCCTCCACAGCCCCGCACACAGCACTGGAGAACTGCCCCAGCACTCCTGGTCCCCTTTTGCCCAGCAGCCCTCGTATAGTCCTGCTGTATCCTGGTCTCCTCAGCACCCCGCTAGACAGGCTACATGCAAAGACTTTGTCTTCTCTCTCTGCCCTGTAAAAAACAATGCTGTGTAACAAGTCTCCCAATTGTTTTCAGTCCTTGCTCAGCTTCTAGCTCAGCTCTATCCTCCTGCCACCTCCTCACTCCCTGTGCTGTCCTCAGCAGGCTTGCCATGCCTGCAGCTCCAGTGTGGGACAGGTGGGCTATGGTGAAAGCTGCTAAAAATGTGTCTTCTTTTCTCTCTTTATCCTTGCTTCCTTGTCATTCACTGGGGTTCGGGCCTGCTTTTGCAAAATCACAGAATCACAGAATTTCTAGGTTGGAAGAGACCTCAAGATCATCAAGTCCAACCTCTGACCTAACACTAACAGTCCCCACTAAACCATATCCCTAAGCTTTACATCTAAACTTCTTTTAAAGACTTCCAGGAATGTTGATGAAATTTGGAGATGAGGAAGATGGGCAGTGCCAAACTTGCTTCCCAGAGACTTAGGTCTGTATCTGCCTTTCACAGTTTGTGCAGACCTGCCTCCCCACATGGGCAGCCTGTCTGGTCTCCCACAAGAGGACAGGTATTGCTTGTGAGAGACCAGCCGGAGATAAAAGACACAGTTAGCGCCCACCCATGCACCCTCTGCTGTTCTCTTTCAGCAAGGTCTCACTTCCCCTTCACAGCTTGCTGGTGCAGCAGCGGGTGTGGGATCATAGCGGCAGGGCTCAGCCTCTCCTGCCTCTTTGCTGCTGGGTTGCACAGACATGAACATCAGCCCTGGAGACGCTCCCCTGCCTGCAGAGAGTGGAGGAGTTCCTGCAGCAGCTGTGCCACATTGCTCTCTGCTCCTCCCCACAGGATGGGATAGCAGGAGAAGGAGCCGAGGCAGCCAGCTAGGAGCTAGGAGCCAGTCTAACTGGGGACGAGGAGTGTGGCCAAGCTACCTGATTGAGCATCAGGAGCTGAAAGGAGGAGGCTAGGCACAGGGGTGCCAGCAGCTGCTTGCGGATCTCCAGGCTCGCCAGCAAGGAAGCCCTGTTCAGCAGGCTTTAATTCCTCATTAACTGAACACAACCATGCTGGTGCTACTATAGTAAACATCAGTAGGCAACAGAAAGGAGAATAGGGACAAAAAGCAAAAGTAATGTTAAGCTACCCTGAGCTTCTCAAACATGAGCCTTTTGGGGGAACAACTGAGGGGCTAATAACAACGTTCTGCAAGACAACCTGAATTCTGTGTGCAAAACCCAAGTGGCACCCATGGGGTCTGGTGTCCAACCTGCTGGTCAGAGCAGGCCCTAGTGCCAGACACGTGAAGGTGTCAATATGGCATGTCTGACTTGTTTAGAAAACCTGTCAGACTAAGTAACAGAAAAATGTGTGTTCTAGCTTTTGAAATGCACTTTATTTATGTATTTGATTATAAATTCAGCCACATCACACAATGCTTGGCAAACCCAAAAAAAGAGCCATAAAATCAGCTACTTCACTCTCCTCTAAAGATTTCCATCAAAAATGTGACAATGCCAAGTAAACTGATGTGGGTGGCGTGAAGAGAGCATAATAAATAATCGAAGTTGTAATTAATCAGAGTCCATAAGTAATCTAAATACTTGGGCCATAAAGATACTAGAAAGAAATTAGCTCTGTCTGTATCTCAGGACTATATATCACACTGTGCTGTGTTGCTATCAAGAGTGTTCTGCACAAATAGCCGTGCAGAACTGCTTCACTCTCAATGTATGCCAAAGTCCAATAAGGTCTCCTAGAATCAACAATTAATTAGGTATTCAATTTTTTGCATTGTTGTGGGATAGAAGGCCTAGTTAAATAATTACTGGACTCTAGTGTATTTTCTTACACTGCTTTCATCAAGTCTTTCACTTCTCTTTGCTTCTTCAAGGCTAATCCGAGGAATATTAAAAGTATGACTAGTCTGAAATTCAGAGGAGTCCATTTTTGCTAATCCTATAGCAGGTCAAATATAGGGGGAAATAAACTGCAGCATCAGCCTTTTATCTAACTCAGAAAAAATGCATCCCTAAATATTAATTTTCATCCCCAAGCTTTGTGAGCCTGTGGCAGTATCGAAAAATGTAATTTTTTCCAAGCTACTTGAAATCCTTTGCTTTCGCCATATAGCGGCTGTTACAAAGTCCTTATCTCCTGCATCACGTTAATTTAGCCTATGATAGAGCCACCTCTTTCTGCGTCATTTTGGCAAACATTTACATCAGCCACAAATTCAAGTCCAGTAAGCTGGGCAATGAAGAGCTCCATGGACTTTTCCCTTCAAATTAGATTATTTTCAAGTTCCAGAAAACTATTGTCTTTGTTTTGGTCAATAAATCCCATTGGTTTTAGTTAATCTAAGTATTTTAATCTTAGTGTGGTACTGTGTTATCTGTGATCAATGCTTCAAAGTCAGCATTAGGACTGCCTAGTGAGGGCTGCAGAGCTCTTCATTGAAGCGCAAACAGCTTTTTCCCGGCCTGGTTTGGAAGTACTCTTCTTGGCTTCTGCTCCTAGCTGTTCTGAACACCTCTTGT